ATCTATCTCGATTAGTTTTAGGTGATACAAACAACCGTTAGGTGAACAAAACTATTATACGCTGTAGCGACATGTTGCAAATGTATAAAATATACATAGAGCTTTGAAACCCTTTCAACGTGACCTCAGTGTTGTAGACAATGGACCAAAAACTGTACTAAGACCAAATAAGTCTATATTTTACGAATTTTCTAGGAGTTGAGACACCATTCATTGCAGACCGCGACCTCGAGTTGCCGCGTGAAACCAGATTGACCTTAGCGCAACTTCGTTCTGAATACTGTAACAAGTTAAACCCCTACATCTCCAGAATAGACCACGTCCCGCATGACTCTAATGCCCTGCTAAACCCACTTACTTAACAGCCCTCTCCCTTTTCTGGACCTAGCACCAAGTGATTTCGATGACAGTTGATTTTGCATTTTTCCCCAAACATAGATTAGGTATTCGCTACAATAACAACAACGAATATTTTATATAACGAAGTTTATTTTGGTCTCCTTGAGGTGCGCTATATAGAAGTTTGACTGTATAATGCACGTATATACTTTATGCATATGGACATGTTATGTTTAAATAATAAGGACAAAGAGTAAACTGTTTCCAAATTTTGTTGTCTAGTCCTTTGAACAAGTGTTTGTGCTGCAATCAGAGTTTTATTTACAACGTTGAGAACAGTAAGTCGCTTCAACCCCTTCCTTAACCCCTCTTATAGTAGAATTAGTAGGTAGGACGTCAAGTTGTTTGGCATATACCATAGATGGTGTTACTCAAAACTCTATATTTAGCCACAACAAATGTAACTCAAGCGTACATGCATATTTATAGTATACTGATACAAATATATAATGGGAGAAATGTGAATATGTCTATTCACAAGCTTAATCCCGACAACAATCTTTAAAGCATAAAAATGTACCGTTTGCAAAATTACATAGATGTAAATATACAATGTCCTACATTTATAGGCGTTATATACACCTATACGAGTATATTAGGTAAACATTTTCAAACAAAATTCAAAGTTTTTAACCTGCTGACTTATTAAGCAATGGCTATATGGTGCGTTCAATATTTTGTATATTTGCATTATTTACTAGTAATGTAAACTTCCAAACGCGGCTGCTAAAAAAATATATTGTTTACAAATATACAAATAAATATGTAGTTTTTTGTTTGCTCGATTTCGCCTGCCCTATCGCATCGGGGGTACTTTGTCGCAAAAAATTTGCAACGTTGCATTAATGACGGCTTCGCCTAGTTTTTATAGCATTTGTGGGGTTTTACTTTGCTAAGCACAAAATAACCCCATTGTGGTCTACAAGTATGGTAAAGTTATGCACATATGTATGAACTTGTACATGCATATATACATATACGCAATTAGTCATTTTATTTAAATTATCCAAGGACATAAATTAAATGTTAAATGAACTTTGAATTTAATTACAGTTGAAATTTCTTATATGTATGTGTAATAAAAATTATAACACACACCTTTTCCACATCACCGGCACGAAAAAGGTTACTTAAGGTCAAAATCAGAGACTTGCAAGTTTATTTCGACTCCGAACAGCTGATATGTTTGGTGACATGCTTTTGCAGAAAAACCGCTCGGAGTTTGCAATTACCTGCCGAGGGGCGAGAGAAACTCGAACCCAATTTCTGTGTAGTGGTCGTTGTAATAAAGTGGATTTATTCATTCGATACACTTCAACTTCATTCTTAATAACTGATTGGATATACACACGCCAGAAAAAGTCTGCGTACACGCTAATAGATTATTTACTTTTGTTGAAAAATAACTTTTATATACAAAATTTTAGAACATTATCACATTAAGTGCTTTATTACTAGTCCATTGCATGATTTCATAGCATTTAAAGCAATGAAAATCTGACAACATAGATTTATAGATAAATTTACAAAAAATATTTATTTGGCGGCGCAGAAAAGATGCGTACAAGTAGTTAAATGGGAATTCCCTAAGTAATCATAACAAATGTAGAAGTGTCAGAAAGTTATAGTTTTACTTGTTTATGTGAAAGTAGCAATTTTAAAAGCTTTTTGTTCTATTCATTTTGTTATTAAATTTAGAATATATAATCTCACATAAAAGAAAAGAAATAAGTCCTTCTGAAAGAAAAATAATGGTTAAACTTTTCGAAGAAGGAAAAATATACTCTGAAATCGGTGGAATTGTTGGGAAAACACTTTCTCTCAAAATCGATCAAAATGTTAAGAAAACTTTTAAGAAATCTCTCTGCACTGAAACCATTCGCAAAATCAAAAAAAAAAAAACAAAAAACGGGTTTTATGCTCAAGTCGCACACAAGAACTCAGTCATATCGCTAGTCAATAGGTAAGGGCATAGGTTGTCGTCAAAGAGCACTTAAATAAACCGCAGCAGTTTTGGCAGAAGGTTAAATATTCATACCTTCATATCTTAAAAATAAATTTGAAGCAAAGCGCGGTAGAATCTGGTCTTGGAATTGACTCCTATTTTCTACAGGATAACGAAAAAAAGCATACAGCAGACATAGTTAAGTAAAATCCGCCAACGCACAATTACCTCAAAGGATATGCTCAGGAGGAATGGGCTCATACCCTTCGACAGAGACCTCTAAGCTTGTGTATTCCATGCCAAAACAATTAGCGGAAGTTTTAAAACGTTGGGGATATCCAACTTCCTATTAAATTTTAAGAAGAATTCGTAGGAAAAATAACTTTATTCGACTTATGTATGTATCTTGTACGCAGACTTATTCTAATGCATTTTATATTCGTCCGTATGTTTTATTTTGTTTAAATGTTACCGTCGGCTATTTAATCACTTTTATTTTTATAAAATTACATATTTAACGTATTTTAATGAATATCAAAAAATATGTTTTTTATAAAAAGTATATAAAGTTATTTTTGTCAACAATTTATTTTTGTTGGTACCTTGTACGACTTTTTCTGCCCAGTGTATGTACATATGCTCTTTTTACAATAAATTTCAAATTTAAATTTAAAAAAACAATAAAAGGTAACTTCGGTTGCACCGCAACTATAATAACTTTCACAGGTTTAAGCTTTCCTTCATTTGCCATCAGTTTGCATGACAGCTATATACTGTATTCGATTTGTACATTTTGCTTGCAGATTATATCGTTGCCTACCTCGTGAAGATATACATATTTCCAAATAAAAGAATTTTTCACATAAAAACTTAATTTCAATCATTTTTACACAATAATACAATAGCTACGAGTATATGGGCACGATTACGATTTCTTTGCTACCGCGATCTGTTAGTATGGACGGATAGAGGAGGTCCTCAGGATTAAAAAATGTGTACATATATACCCGTTTCAGACATTATAGTTTTCTAGACATTTGTATTTGATAAATTTCAAAAAAGTACTGCACGCTATTTCAAAGCGTTCAGTGTTAATGGAAAGACGTTGTAAGAATCTTCTTTTAACTGGATTAATTTTGAAGCAAAGGTCCATGAATTTGAGACAGGTACAGGTTCGTTAGACAAGTTCAAAATACGGCATGGTAATATTTAAAAAACGTTATGTGGGGAATGTGAACCTTTAACATATATTGATTGAAAAATACAACGCAATGTCATGCTCGCCAAATAAAATACTGACATTCAAAATTAAGAAATACTTTGGTGGAAAACAAAGCAAGGAGGGAATAACTGTCCTGGTGGGAAGCAATATGTCGGGATCAGAAAAGCTTAAATTTCTTGTAATCTGAAAGGCGAAGAATCCGAGACGCTTTAAGGGAATAAAATCTTTAGATGTCGATTATGAATTTAACAAAAATGTATGGAAGACCAGTGAGATTTTTACAAAATGGATTCTAAACCTCTGACAAAAAATTTGGGATGCACAATGCAAGTTAAAAAACATTTACCTCCCTAATTTTTTTCCCAGCATGACTTCGTTACTGCAACCAATAGACCAAGGCATTATCTATAAGTCGGGTCTAAGTAGCCAGTACAGACCAAGATTTTTACCCGTTCCCACGACAGTCGGGTCTACGTAACTGGAACGGACCCGGATTTATTCCGGCCAAGGACTGTCAACTCGGCAGAATTCTGTCGCTACAACAACAACAACCAAGATTTTTACCCGCCAAGGACTTTCAAATCGGCACCATTCCTCGAAATTAATACAGGAATGTTTTCTGCCGCTACAACAACAACAACATTACAGAAAACGAATATATTGGCTGAACTGGTTGCGGAAAATTTTGGTTATGATCATAGCCTGCAGCAAGGCTATTGCAAATTTAATTCCACAGTATGGAATGTTAAAGCAGAAATAATTGCCAAATGTTTTAGAAAGGCAGGATTTTCAGGGCTGCTTTGAAGTCTTAATTTAAAAAAGTTGTAGAAAGTCGCGGAGTTCCAGCTGTACTTGGTGAATATTTATATTTTTATAATCAAACAAAAAATAAATAAACTTTATTTCTACTTTTAGATATTCAGATAACTATGAAGACGATTTGGCCGTTGAAGAAGAATTGGCAGACTCTGATGAGGCATAATCTACAATACATTAGGACCTAATTCGAACAAAACTTATTGATTATTTTAAATAAAAATACATAACATCATTTGTTTCTATATAATGAAGTGAAATTATTGAATTAAAAAAACTTTTGCAAGATTTGGTACAAAACAAATGTGTAGAAACGAATTAGTCAAGTGTTAGTTAATATAAAAGTTAAAAATATAAGTGTAAAATTCATTATAAACCAATGCAACACGCACTTCAAATGGTTGAAATTTTGCACTTTAAATGCAAATATATGTACCATAAGGCAACTAAATGTACATATTTTCTGAATCTGGAGAACCTCCTATATCCGTACATACCCATTTTATTCTAAAATTGACACTTTTAATCTTCTTTGCTAACAAATACTCTACATATTTTATTTAACATCGACGTACCTGCATGTAACTAATACTATATAATCCTTTGGTATAAACTTACCTGATTGGAATTTTTATATATTTTAAGTAATCATGCAGTAATAGAAATTGCCGGCATCCACAGATTACAAAATGTTAAGAAATTTCTTTTGTAGAATTTAATGAAATTTTTTTTATATTTTTAACAGTGTTCTGCTTTTATTTTTCACAGGTTTGTACAATGTGTGATAGCTGCCAGTGTGAACGAACGTATAGAACACAAAAAAGAATCACAAATTTTCGATGTATGCACTCTCATATTATCTTGAATTCAATTTAAAGCACTCTCTTGTATTATTTGAATATAACAATTTCACATTTAGTTTCTTTTAAGGGATATGCCTTACATTTATATAAATTTGTGGTAAACTTTGCATGTTCCTATATATATTATATATAGAAATCAGTAAGTGTTTTGGATTTATTACTACACTTATGCAGATTTATTTTCATATCACTAAAATAAATTCACTCATTAATTTTGTCATATTAATGTGAACAAATCAATTATTTCTAATATTAGTAATCGCCGACAATATAAACCGTAATTAAAATTACTAATATACATATATATCATCCACTAAGATTGCAGAGTTAATTTAATTCTGCCGGAATAGTTCTGAAAGGGTTCAAACAATTTCAGATTCGACAAAAGCACGACGAATAAAAACATAATTAAATCACTATACGCGATTTTGGAAGTACACGATTACACATATTTGGTTTCTTTTTAACAAATTAAATAAAAACTAAAGCTGATTAGACGAACAAAATTCCGTCCAACTACTAAAACAGTCGGCAATTTGACATTTCGCTTTAACAAGGCAATCAAACTAATAATTAGAACGAGTTGACCACAAAGCAAACGGACCAACTATGATGGCTGCCGAAAGTCAGGGTTGCATTGGAAGCATCAACCACATACATTGAAAAGTGCGTAAATTACTATTAGGGTAATTCATTATATTGCTTTTAAGCAGTGAATGTTTTAATTTTTTTGTAATATATTAGATTATTTCATAAATAAATTTCCTACACAATACATACATTTTAAATTTGCTTTGAAGCAGTTTTGAACAGATAACCAACTTAACCTTGAGTGAGAGCGCCTCAAAACAAGTTGACATATTAGACGACATACTAGTTGCCTTCAATTCACCACTTCTCTGCTCGCTTTTGCTCTCTTGTTAAAAAATTACATGTAAAGCAATAACACAGTTGTCGAGTTGAATTCCTACAAGAGAGTTTGCGGATACCACATTAACGCGTCATCTCCATCGGCAATATACATACATTGGTACCTATCTGTCAAATACAATACCATTGAGGTTATCAATGTTCTCGTACGAGCAAAGTAATTATTTTCGAAATGGCGTCGCCGTATTTTCGAGCTGATGTAGCGCATTTTTGAGCTCTTGTGTCGTTTAAAAATTTTATGTGGAGAATGAAAAATGTAGAAATCTACTTTTCTCTACAAATGGGTTTTTTTTGACAAATAAGATTTCTTATTTTAAGACTTAAATAATTGTTGAATAAAGTTTATTATCCAATTCAATAAATAAATATGAGCAATGATATTTACATATGCTAACAATTATCATTAAAATTTTAACCATGCAAATATACATACATATGTATTCACTTATTTATTATTTTCCATGATTTGTTAAAATACAAGTATGTACATGTTGGTTCTAAAAAATTTGTGGGAAATGAAAACAGCTCTGTTAAACCACCAAAAGGTCAGTTCATTCAGAGAACATAGAACAACCATTTTCCATTTATGTTCTCAGGTTCATTTCTACCAATATATGGCAAAAATTTTTTTAGACATCAATTGCTAAACATTAGCAATATGCGGTCTCCATTGGAAATATTGCTTGCAATACAGATTTTAAGCAATCTAAATTGCCTGTCGAGATGAACCGTAAAAAATGGTATAGCCGCTATCTTCAGTGCTACCAGGTTTTTTTTCCTTCTATTAAATCACTTTATTATTGTGAATGGTTCAAACGACAAATAAAAACAAAAATTTCTTTTTTTATATTGCAATGCTAGCAATAAACTGTCATTTTGGTGGTTTGACAGAGTTGTTTTCATTTCCAGCAAAAATTTGGTTTGGTGTTTTATGTTTTGTTACGTAAACTGCACTTTTATAAACAAATATTCAAAACATAAATTTCAACAAAATATGGAAAATAATAATTAAATACATACATACATATGTATGTGTATGTATGGTTAACATTAGAACTACGAACCGGTCGAAATGACTGCATCATTTATTTATATTATTTCTTCTTTATTCCTATTTAATAATTTACGATAAAGTTATGATTTTTATTAAATTTATGTATAGAATAATATTTTAGATTATTTTGTTCTTACGATTCTAATTTTCAGAGAGAGAGAGACCTATTTGAAATAGGTATATGGTAAATCATCGTAGTTCTACTGTTAATACTTGAATGATGTAAATATTTATGAGCATATTTAATTAGTGAATTATAATATTTTTTTTTAAATCCCACTTTTATAAATTTGAATATACCCGACATAACATAAAAACACAATTTTTTTGTAGAATTGACAACTGAACTATCAAACAAGTAAGGAAGGGCAAAGTTGGATGTAACCGAACATTTTATACTCTCGCAAAGTCAAATGGTATACTCGTTTGAGATTTCTTTGTGGATTGACTGATATTTTCGGTAGAAGGTCAACTATAGGCACTGGGGTCCACATATTTAGTACTTAGGAGCTTGAACAGTTTTGGTTCGATTTAGACAATTTTTAGTCACAAGGTGGCATACTTAAAAATAAAGTTTTACCCATATATAATCATTGTTGCTTGATATGCATAGTGTAAAGTGAAAGAATCATATGGAATTGAAAATGGTGTTATATGGGAAATAGGCGTGGTTGTAGTCCGATTTCGCCCATCTTCGCACTATAACATAGAAATATGAAAAGAATGTTATGTACCAAATTTGGTTTAAATCGGTTAAGTAGATCTCAAGATAGGGGTTTTCACCTAAAAGTGGGCGGTGCCAATTTTGAAAGCGGTTCCTATAAAGTCATCTTATACCATCCCAGAGATAAAATTTAATGTATCTGGCGTGTTTAGTGCTTGGTTTATCGCGCTTAAGGTATTTTTTAACAGTACCGTTATATGGGGTGTGGGCGGGCTTGTCACCCGATTTCACCCATTTCCACACCGTCAATAGAGGTGCTAAAAACCAGTGAATTTGGTTATTATAGCTTTAGCGGTTTAGGAGATATGCACATTAAACTTATTAGGAGGCGGGACCACGCCCACTTAAAAAAAAATTTTAACTGCAGATGCCCCTCCCTAATGTGATCCTTTGTACCAAATAATAGTCTTGTATCTTATTGTGGAGCTTAGTTATGGCAATTTATTTGTTTTTGATTAATGGCGTTTTGTGGGCGTGGCAGTGGTCCAATTACGCCCATCTGCAATACCAACCGTCTTACGGTACCAAGAAACATGTGTACCAACATGCGTTCATGAAGATATCTCAATTTTTACTCAAGTTACAGCTTGCACGGACGGACGGACGGACGGACAGACAGTTACCCTGATTTCAACTCGTCTCTTCATCCTGATCATTTATATAAATATATATAACCCTATATCTAACTCGATTAGTTTTAGGTGATACAAACAACCGTTAGGTGAACAAAAATATTATACTCTGTAGCAACAAGTTGCGAGAGTATAAAAATGATTATTGCCAGCAATAGTAGTTATCATAAAAATTGTTCAGATAACTAATCCCGAAAATAAGCAATATGCCGTCTTCATTGGCAATATTAGCGAGAGTCCGAAATTTTACGTTTTTCATATTGCGCTTTAGATTTCGAACGACCTTTCAATAAAATATGCCCCATTAATTTTTTGCATACCTTTTTTTTAAACTTGTTATTATAGACTGCAATAAAACTTGTTTGCATTGTATTCGCAAATTTAAGTAGAATGTTGATTGTGTGTGTACTTCTTATACAAAACATATCTTCAAATCTTATTTACTGGACATTCATTTTCATTCTGTAAACACCACTCGGGTTGAAGCGCCTCTGCTTGTATTCCATTTGCAACTAACCGTTCACGATGTAGTAATATTCGGGATTCGGCATCGCGCCAACCTTCAACGGGGTTCGACCACAATCGCTCTGCTAAAGCACTAGAACGTGGCCATAACCGATAGTCAAGCGTGTACTCATCGATTTGCTCCGACCAAATTGCTGCCTCACCTCCTAAAACCTGACTTTTGTAGCTCCCGGCGATTTGGTCCAAGTTGTTGTCGTAGACTTTCTGCCAACCGATATAGGGTGAGCACCAGTTGTTTCCACTGCTAACCCAACTAGGACCACCACAATCGAAATATAGAGCGTTATTGTTGGAAATAATAACACGATAACCCCGCTTTAGGATTGGTAAAATGTCGCTACTCGTACCGCGTGTCCATATTTGTATAATATATCTGGATTTGTCCAAATATTCATCAATATATGGTTCTTTCGTCAGACTACTTGTCCATAGTGTAATTAAAGGTTTATTGCCGTTAGAAACACTGTCCACTCTTTCGAGGGCCTTTTCTTGGAAATATCCCCAAAGCCGATGAAAGTCGTCCTCCTCCAAATTCCATCCTTTTAATAGCATCCAATTACGGATACCTTCACTCGCATTCCAACATTTTGACAATACTTCATCACCGCCCATATGGAAAACATCTGGAGAGAATAACTGAAATATTTCACGATATATATCTTCTAGTATGGGATATAACTGCTCGGCAGTGGGGTCGAATTGTCCACAAGGTGGTTCCCCACAATAATTTTTCCAAGGTTGATAATTTGCACAGGCAATCACTCCTTTATGTTGCCAACCTTCACTAACGTGGGCAGGAGCATCAAATTCCGGCATTACGCGGATACCTCGGACAAGTCCATACTGTACGATTTCAGATATTTGACCATGTGTATAAACCTTATTTGGTGAATAAGCACCGAGTTTATGAAGCTCTGGATGAGATTTAACTTCCAGTGGAAAGCTTTGAGAGTCTGTGATATGCCAATGAAAGGTGTTTAGTTTAACCATTGCTAAGGCATCTGAAAATTAGTAAATAAAGGTTAATAGTCATTTTAATTTAAATAAATTTATTGTTAAATAAATTTCAATATGTTCGTCTAGGTAAAAGGTAAATTAAAAACTATCTGTTTTGGACCCTAATCCTTATTACAGAGTAAACATGTAACCTTGAAAGGATATCTAATGAAGCGATTCGTACGCATATAAATCTTACCTTTCATGATTTAGGAGACCGCAATATCTTCTTCTATCATATTCAGTATTAAACGTTTTTAATTTCAATAACAACTCTATTAATTAAGACACTTTTCAAATCTAACATAGCAATATGTTGAACTGGATGCAATAAATTAACAGAGTTATTAGTCAGTTCGAAACAAGACTGCTATAATTTTGTTCCTGAAGTCACGATCAATCTATTTTTCATCTGCCTATGTTCTGTTATGTATTTTGTTTACACTTACCAAGAGTACGTTTTATCGATTCCACAGAATAGAAATGCCTCGATGTATCCAATAATATACCGCGCCATTTATACGCCGGTGCATCCTCAATTTCCACCTTGGTCAACAATTGGTGTTCACCTCGGATATCATCATACACAATTAACTGTGAAAACGTTTCTAAACCATGCCGTGCGCCAAAATAGGTATTACTATAAATTTTTGCAATACTACCGTTATCTTTTGTTAATGCGATCAACAGTTTGTAGCTTTCATCGGTGTCGAGTGTTATGCGGGGAAGTTCATCGATATCCGTTCCTAACTCAATAACCAAAGTTAACTTGGCGCCACCGGCCCTTACAAGACCGATCTCTTGAGACTTTAACTGCCGCAAAAATCTAGCTTTGCTCGCCTCCCATAGCGGTTGTTGTTTGGTGAGTTTGGGAAACTCAAATGCGATTGTGTTGACATCTATGTGTTGAATAAAATTTTCGGTGCGTACTATTCCGGTTGGTTTTGGCCAAACAGTTCCCACCTTTGCTTCTCCGCAGAGCAAACGGCACACCGATAAACTGATAGCGTTCTCTATATTGCTCTCCGTAAGTTCGATTTTTACGCACCTGCCCTGCTGACATTTGTAACCATACACAGCACTACGTTTGAACAAATAGTATTAATAAATTATTATTTGTATGTATGAATGTGAGATTATCAAAACACGAAAATATAAACAAAGTGATCGCAATTTTGTCGAAGATTTTCAAGTTATTAACAGTGAATTAAAAGTGAAAACAAAACAAGTAATTTCCAACAAGTGTATGTATTTACATATACATATGTATATGTAAGATGTACTCACTTTCGCTCTTCGCCTCTTACAAACAAATCAGAATTCAGAGAAGCGCTCGCTATTAAATACACTGTTAGTATAATTAAATATTGTTCCATTTCGGTTGCACTTCTCCACACGATTCCCAACAACCAACCTCTCTCAGGGCTAGCTAGTCACTAAATTGATAACTTAATTTTGATTGCAGCGGTACGAGAATCTTCGCATATAGTACATACATATAATATGAAATTTATATATATATTTATATACATATGAGTAGGCACTTATGTGAGCATGTGTGTAAGCATTTCAAAATTTTTAATATTATTTGATTATAATTGATAATAATTAGGTTTCAGGTTTTAAAAGTTTCACCGAAAATAGTTTTAAGTAGAATTTTGGACTACTAGGGACAAAATGCAGCACGCCCCCTAAAGTTGTAAAACAATACCTTTCCGTTCTAATTTGAATATAACAAGTTAACCAAGTCATCTTGAGATTACCCTGTCCGTACATTTCTTAGCCCTTCTAAATTCTTTAGCTTTTTATAATCTTGCAAAGTTATGTATATGTATTGTAAATGAACAGAACGACGAGACGAGTTTACATCTGAATGTTTGTCCATCCGTCCATCCGTGCAAGCTGTAAGTTGAGTAAAAATTAAGGCATCTTGTTGTAACTTGGTACACATGTTTCTTGGCACCATAAGCAGTTCGGTATTGTAGATAGAACCACTGCTACGCCCACAAAACGTCATTAATCGAAAACTTATAAATTACCAAAACTAAAAATCTTTAGAGATTTGCCAAACACAAATCGTTCTGAAACTTTTTACGACACTGTGATATCCTTCCTGTTAAGAATATGTCTGTAGGTCAATATTTCCCTTTGCCCCCCATATACCTAATAAAAAGATTTACGAATTTCCGGCTGACTTTATACCGCATCTATCGGTCAATGTGTGAGTTATCTTAATAAGTGAGAGCATGAGCTGGTTGTTCTAAAAACAGTGCCCCTTTTTGTCAAATATAGATAAAATCGTGTGAAAACTATCCCTAGCCTCCATCTAGCTTACATCAGGATTTTCGAACATCCTTATATATTGCGAATGATGTGGGAGGTACTTTAGCATCTTATTCTGTTAAGAAGATTCCAAAAATTGGTAGATAAAATCGGTTGAATAGTACCCCTATCTTCCATATACCTAATATAAGATTATCAAACTTCCGGTTGGCTTTATACCATATTGTCGGTCAACATGTAAAATATCTCAGCAAAATTAACTGATCGTATAATATTGAATATACCAAAGTTTAATGACGAATATATGTGCAATTATATAATATTATACTCCATATAATGATTTTCGTGCCGAATATGTCGGTCAGTGTGTGAGTTATTTATTTATAAAATTGGTTGAAAATATTTTCTCAAGTATCCTGAGAAATGTCAAAAGTTAATGCAACAAGCCCAAACCTTACTCTGCCCCCAGTATACACTATATAGAGATTTCCGACTTTCCACCTGGCTTTAAGCCGTTCAGGTTGGTCAAAATGTGTAATGTGTGCGGCTTTCCTTCCATATATCCCAGCGTTGCTACTATGGGAAAATAACACATCCATATACACAGTGACGGAGAGAGCGGAGACTATTCCTCCCGGCCCGGAGTCCTCGGCCGGGGCTCAGTGCTCTGCAAAAATAGTTTGCAAATTTTTTTTTCAACAATTCACTACAATTGTTGCCATTGTGAATTTAATAACAATAATTTCATATAATTGATCTATATCAATGTTTCTTCTGCATACTTTAACCGATGAATATCAAGTTATCATATACCTCATATGTATGTACTCAAGTATATGGAACATCAAGAAAAAATTAACATATGCTAATAAAATTAAACCAATTTTTTATTAAAATAAAACAAAATCTAATATCAATAAATTGCTGGATAACGGAGCCCGCATCCTTTATCCTCGCCAGGCCCCAATTTTTTCTCTACAAACTTGCATACATATCTATATATAATTACGCTATTAAAAAAGTTTGTGTTCCCTTTTCGACTGTATTGCCGTTGACATACATATATGGATAAAATTTATACCGTTGGAAAAGAAAAGACGTGCACAACTCTATTTTTTAGCATGTACGTCAACGGGAACACAGGTAAAAATACGTTGGGACAAATTTAGCGACTACAACAACCACAAGCGCGGTGGCGTGGAAATAACCTTGGATATCATTCGTTTTATTTTTGGTGAGTTAAAAATGTGTACATTAATTTCAAGTGCATTGTGTGAAAGAAAATTTTTTTAAAACATTTTTTCCAAGGTCAATTTTATGATGGTGGTTGAATCGACAATATCAACACAACAACGAAACAGGAAGTGATTGAATCTTTCCCGTTTTCTTTGATTGCGGTTGGTTTGTTTCAACTTTTAACGAAAATTGAATTGAAACGTTAATTTTATTTTGGTGAGCTAGAAATTTTTATGTATATTTCGTTAAACAAGTTAAATTTTTTACCATTTTTTCCAAGGTTAATTTGTTGGCTTCATTAAAGAATAAACGCGATCAATTGAAAATTGAATGCGATTTATTGAATAATAACTGCGATCAATTGAAGAATCAACGAGATAAATTGCGTCAGAATGTTTAATTTTTTCAGAAAAAGGTGTTTTTCTTTATTGAAAAGATTTCAAAATTTAGCATTGGTTCGGGACTTCGTCGGTATTTCATTCAAACAATTCATAAATATTTTATTCTAATTTTTTTGCATCCTTTCGCAGGTGCTTGCGTGGCCACATAGGACGACAAATTCAAATTGGCCGATTTGATTCGATTGTTCATTCAGGGAAGAATCAAGCCAAAAGCAGAACAGAACAAATGATTTTGCACGAAATGAATTATAAATTTTAATTTTTTTAAATTGTTTTCCACAACTTTCTTTAGATATTATTTACATTTTTTCAAATTTTTTAATAAAATTTAAATGCTATTAACACTCACAATGGTCGAATTTCGAGTATTATATTATATTATATAAAACAGTTTAAAAATTTGACTGACGTCGGCGTTTTCATCAGAATTCATCAATTTGCTACATAAAATCCTCATAATAATTAATACAGCCCGGCCCGCCTTTGTATTCCATACCTTTTCCCAGTCACCATACGAAGATTTTAATAAATTCCTTTTCTCCAGTTGATTTTAATGAAATCAGGTGAAAATATATGGGTTGGCGTAATGTTGGTTACTACAAGAAAGTTCATTAAATTGAGTTTATAGACTTTAGATTTTCTCTTCCACACTTAACGCCATTTAATTAAATTGGCCTCTGATTATAATACCCTGGGTATATTAAGTTCGCCATGTTCGTCTGTCTGTATATACGGTCATTCAGTTTTTAAGATATCGATCTGAAATTTTGCACGCGTCCCATTCTCACCAAGAAGCTTCTCATTGTCGGAACCGCCAATATCGGACAAATATAGCATATAGCTACTATACAAACTGACCGATCAAACTCAAGTCCTTGTATAGAAAACTTTTGATACCCTGAACATGGTATATTAAGTTTGCCACGAAGTTTGTAACACCCAGAAGGAAACGTCGGAGACCCTATAAAGCATATAGCATGTATGAAGACTCTTTCATTTGACGATATATCTTCTCGAAATTTGGCATGGATTATTATTTAAGGCAATAGTGTAATATCCGTAGAAATTGTATTAATCGGATAAATATAGCATATAGCTGTCATATTAACTGAACGATCGGAATAAAGTGTATATATTGAACACTTTTTTTTTTTTGGAAGAGGTATCTTCACGAAAATAGACATGAGTTATTGTTTAAGGTAACAATGTGATCTCCAAAAAAATTGCTTAGATCACTATATCATATAGCTGGCACATAAATTTTACAATCGGAATCATGTTCTTGTAAGGAACCTTTGTATTTGTGAAGGGTATTATAGATTCAGTGCAACCGAAGTTAACGGTTTTTTCTTGTTGATTTGACATTTTGCACAGATTACTATTCACGGCAGTACTACAATCTCCGATGAAATAGTTCAGATCGGATAAGTATAGCATATAGCTTAGGGTGGGTAAAAGGTTTGGCACGCTTGGTACACTGAAAAATAGGTTCTTAGATACCTCTAAGAAAATCTCACTTAATTGTAACGGAAAGTTATTAATAATTCTCTTAGTCCCAATATACCTAATAGAAAGAATTTTAAACTTCCATTTGGCTTTATGAGTATGTATATTCGATAATCGGTCAATATGCAAGATATCTTATCATATGAGATATATGAGGCTATACTATATAATATAGTTTAGTGCCGAAAATGTGTGAAATCGGTTTGCGAATTACCCCAGCTCTCATATACTAGATATCATAATTTTCGTTGTCTAGCAGACTTTGTATCGCATGTGCCTGTCCTCCCTGCCTTTGATCTATGCAAATAGCGTTATCATAAAATGTTCTGTTACGCCCGAATTTAGCAGTTCCTTACTTGTTTTGTGTAGTCATTTATTATCTAGAACAAACATGTTCGAGCTATTCAATCGTTGAGAAATTTAAAATTGAGACGTAGATGTCGAAATACCAAAAGGACAGTTTATTGCTAGCAATAGTTATCGGGATAAATATTCGAAAAACTATTTCCACCCATTAGAAATGCCACTCCTTTTGCAATATGGCAACAATAAAATTACTAAAACAACATCTATTATCTGCCTAGAAGCCCCCAAAATAGCTCAAACAGTCACCGACATTTCTCCCTTCCGTACGTCAACTGATACGACCTACAAGTATCTTATGAGAGAGAAATGAACACTCACCACTGCTTCTACAGTCTGCTTCAACAAACCGTAGGGTAGGATGTCCGCGAAAATTGGATTTTTCCCGTAGAAATGAGTGAGTTGAGAGTGAGAGAGCAATCTCTTGTAACGCAGGGTTCTCAATCTCGATATTATGTAGTAATTAAAAAATAAACTTGAATATATTTGAAATATTTTTAAAATAACTCAAAATCACAGTCGAATACATTTATTTATAAATTTTTATTATACTTCGCAACTTGTTGCTACAGAGTATAATAATTTTGTTCACCTAACGGTTGTTTGTATCACCTAAAACTAATCGAGTTAGATATAGGGTTATATATATATAAATGATTAGGATGAAGAGACGAGTTGAAATCAGGGTGACTGTCTGTCCGTCCGTCCGTCCGTGCAAGCTGTAACTTGAGAAAAATTTAGACATCTTCATGAACACATGTTGGTACACATGTTTCTTGGTACCGTAAGACGGTTGGTATTGCAGATGGGCGTAATCGGACCACTGCCACGCCTACAAAACGCCATTAATCAAAAACAAATAAATTGCCATAACTAAGCTCCACAATAAGAGACAAGACTGTTATTTGGTACAAAGGATCACATTAGGGAGGGGCATCTGCAGTTAAAATTTTTTTAAAAAGTGGGCGTGGTCTCGCCCCTAATAAGTTTAATGTGCTATTGACGGTGTAAAAATGGGTGAAATCGGGTGACAAGCCGCCCACTCCCCATATAACGGTACTAAAAGCGCGATAAACCAAGCACTAAACACGCCAGAGACATTAAATTTTATCTCTGGGATGGTATGAGATGACTTTATAGGAATTGCCTTCAAAATTAGTCAGTGGGCGTGGCACCGCCCACTTTTAGGTGAAAATCCCATATCTTGGGATCTGCTTAACCGATTTCAACCAAATTCGGTGCATGACGTTCTTTTCATATTTTTATGTTATAGTGCGAAAATGGGCGAAATCGGACTACAACCACGCCTATTTCCCATATAACACCATTATCAATTCCATCTGATTCTTTCACTTTCGACTACGCATATCAGGCAACAATGATTATATCTGGGTAAAACTTTGCGTGAATAATACGTTTAAAGTATGCCACCTTGTGACCAAAAATTGTCTAAATCGAACCAAAACTGTTCAAGCCCCTAAGTACTAAATATGTGGACCCCAGTGCCTATAGTTGACCTTCTACCGAAAATATCAGCCAATCCACAAAGAAATCTCAAACGAGTATACCATTTGACTTTGCGAGAGTATAAAATGTTCGGTTACATTCGAACGTAGCCCTTCCATACTTGTTAATAGTTGGATTTTAGTTTTGAGCTTTTACATTATGAAAAATTATAACTAAAAAACTATATGTGTGAAAAATTGTGTTCACAAATAGAACAATGGCAACATTGGTGAAATGAAAACAAAAGAGAACAACTGATTTCTGCAGTGCAACTACGGGCATAACTTTTGACAAATTTGGTTTGATAGGGGTGGTAAGTACGGAAGGGAGGAATGTCGGTGACTGTTTGGGCTATAAGGATCAAAAGCAGATTTTCGGTTACATTTTTTCAATAAGCACATATTGTTGTATTGTTCTATACCTGGTAATATATACCCATGTACGAATGTAAATGTATTTTAATGTTACACTTCGTAATTTAATATATGCATATAATATAATATATAATGTGTATGAAGAAACAAATATAATATTATCATATCTTGCATTTTTGCAGAAAATGAAGGTTAATATCTTCCGGCATTGTGCTGACCTAACTGTATGTGTTAAATTTACGTTTTACCTGAAAAAATAGTCATAAACGCATACATGTATGAATTGCGTATGAATGACCTTCATCCCTTTGAGTATTAAGAGGTACCGCCCCCGGAACATTCATTAGTGATCTTAGTTAAACAACGGCAAAGAATGGAAAGATGTGGTTACTGAGCTTTGGCGAAATAGCAGTCACAGCAAAACGCTGTCTCTTTTATTATGTATTGCAATGCACCAGTAATTTATACTTCATTCTTCCTATTTTAACTTCTCTAAAATCTTCATCATTTTCGAGAATTATTATTAGACAAGATTACATAAACGAAGAATATTTAATCGAAAACCTATAAAATGCTGTATTAAGCCGTAAATATAGATACGAAACTGAAATTAGTACAGAGTATTAAAGTATGGAGGGCCATTAGTGATTTAAAAGTTTTTCAAAAGTGGGCGTGTCACCGTCCTTTATAATTTATAAGTGTATATCTACCCAAACAAGAAAGCTTTCTGAGAACAAGACCTTTCAGCATCTCTTCATACTATGTGAAACTGGATGAAATGGAATGATAACTACGTACACTTCCCATATATCGGTTGTGTTGAAAATTGCTCAAAGTTCATAACTCAGGAACTATTCCACCAATATCAATTAAATTTGGAAAGTAACCTTACACTGAAAGTATAGAATCTAGTATCTACGGTTGACTTCCTACCGAAAATATCGGTTATCTGTCAGATATATTAATGAAATTAAAGAAGCATCTATTCCTGACAATGTGCACTTGTGCTAAAAACGGATAAAATCGGGACAGGAAATCCCCTAACACCCTTTACCTTATAAAAAATGTTCGAAATGTGAGAGCTTTTTTGCATAAAATTGCCTGTAAACATGTTCTCGATTATACTTGAGTAATGTTAAAATTTAAAGCAATCAGTTTAGGCCTTATCCTAGCCCCAGTTTACCCGGTATATTCATTTCCGGCATTCCACCTGACTTTAAACCTTTTATGTTGGCCAATATGTCTGATATTGATATTTAGTTTGCAATTAAATTTGTCACATCCAAAAGGAAACGTCGGAGACCCTGTAAAATATATATGTACATAAATATCAGCTAGATGAGCTGTGTCGATTACCCATATCCGCCTGCCTGTCTGTCGGAAATATTATATCTGTATATTCCCGAAATAGTCCTTTGGTTCTTGAGATATCGATCTGAAATTTTGCACACATTCTTTTCTCACCAAGAAGCTGCTCATTTGCCGGAACATTCTATGTCGGATTCCTAAAGCATGTGGCTGCCATACAAACTGAACGATCAGAATAAAGTGCTTGTATGGAAAACTTTTTCATATAACGAGGTATCTTCACGAAATTTGGGATGTGTTATTGTTTAATTCAATAGTGAAATTTCCGAAGAAACTGTTCGGATTCATACAAACTGACCGATAAAAAATAAGTTCTTTAATTTACGAAGAGTAGTTAACGTTTTTTCTTGCTAATTTTAATAATGGAATGGTTTTTTATAAAAAATTTACTGCTAGTTTTTTGGTATAAAATGAAACCTACTGGCAGACTTTAATGTCCATTTTGCCAAACAATGATTTACTGACAATAGATTAAGGAATTATCTTGGGTCGACGACCTCTTGAAATAGTTGTTTGACCCGTTGATTGTACAGAAATTATTCTTTTTTTTTTTGGCTTCAAAATAATGTGTCGAAGTTAAAGGGTTTTTGAGCTTTTGTCAACATTGTCAATGTGGCCAATAGGAAATATAAAGAAATGTTGTTGTTGTTGTTGTAGCGGCAGAATTCTGCCGAGTTGACAGTCCTTGGCCGGAATAAACCCGGGTCCGTTCGGCTTCAGAATTCTGCCGCTACAACAACAACAACATAAAGAAATATTTATAATACCCAAAAAACTGTAGTAATTCTGTTGATGAGGTAATACGAAACAATATTCATTGTATAAATTATAATGTTTGCACAATGAATATTCGAAGAACTGAAAAATGTACTTAAATCCAATAAAGAAAATCGAACAGAGATATGATAGGTTCGTTACCTATTGTATAAATTTATTTGAATTAAATTAATTCGGGTTTTACACACATTTAGGACATTTAGGAAGTACTTAATAATTTATTCACAATCCTACAGACCAAATGTAAATAGTAACATCTCTGCTTTTTTCATTATCTGCTTCTTACTATTATTCTGTTCTGTTTTCTCTTTGCTGTATATCGGGTTTACGCTCACTTGTGTCGTGATTGTGGGTGCAATTCTTTGGAAATATTCGATTCTTAGTCGGAGATTGTGCATATAATTACGGAAATATTAACTCGCAAATGTGTGCAATCATTATGCAACGTGTTTAATAAATTTGTGATATATTGAATGCAAAAGAAGGAATTATCAGCACTTCACGGTGTACGGAAGAAAAAGATAAAGAAAAAAGGGAAATGAATGTAAAGAAGGCGGTTTTGGCTAAATCGTAACTAAATCATTGCTGAAAGTGAGAAACAAGGTTTGAATTTTTGTTGTACCGCTGTCGCTACGGTTGGCTAGTGCATCATATTAATTTTGTATATTGCAGTCTCGCTTGCGCCGACATTTATTAATACTACCGAGTTGATTATTTGACAGTTGCACATTCTGACATTATCGCGTAGCTATTCATACATTCATCTTGTTACACTATTGCAGTGAAAACGAAACGGAATATTTGAAACTGTTGATCGCAAGCTGTCCCAAGTGTGCTTCGAAGAAGCGAACAAAGGCGAAAAGAATTTAGGTAAATGAAAAGTCAGATGGACTTGCAAAAGCGTAAAAACGGAAACGAAACGTAGCGGCTTTTGTTTTAGCAAAAATATCTTACCATTGCGCTAAAATAAGATAATATAATAATTAAACATTGTAGTTCTAACATTGAAGTAGTAAAGATCATTGCTTGGGCATAAATAACCTGTGTAAATCTATAGAACATTGTTGGCACAGTGGAATCTTGAAATGGATATTTGTGTGTATTTTGTGTGTCTCCTGGTGGCTTGAATTACGTGTCTGTAAAAAAAAAACAACAATACAGAACAAGTGGTTTCAACAATTTTAGCTAAATACTATATTAAAGATTTAACTTTTTCTTTAAAAAAAGTGTGTCAAAAATATCAGAGAAATTTCAGTTCTATAAAAACAAAATTGTTAAAAATTGTGACTAATTAAAGATATCTAAGTGAATATACATGTGTATACCTTACCAAATAACCGATTTTTTAAAAATCAAAATACATCATCAATACATTTAATATATAAAAAACTAGTATTGCTGTTATCATCGAGGTCCCTGATTACCAATTTATTTGACCGTAGAAACAGCGTAAGTCATGATTACTTCTATAAAAATTACTAGAAATATACGGAAATTTATTATTTAGCAATTAATTAAAACTGGAATCTTATTGATTAAAACTCCCATTTTGTATGTGTAACTATCCAGTATCAACAGTATCCATGTTAATTTTCTGCATCAATAAATTGGGCAATTACCTGTGTTGTAACAGATAACACATTCCCTAAGGTATCATAATCAGTCCTTAGTTATACATATGGAATACTACAGATTTCGGTACTTAAACCAGATATTGTGTGTTCACAACTAAACTTTATAATGAAAATGTTAATGTAATATTAATACTGAGAAGTGAGAGTTATAACACTTGTCTACGTTTATTAATTTAGAGAATTAGTACTATGTTTTAATATTTCTCTTTATAAAAAGTGATAAAAGCAGCAATGTCGCAAAAGAAAACCATATAAGAATCACTACTGCCCAACGAAGAATAAAATACGTTTTGTCCAGCGTGCTTTGCTGCATCTTATCCGTAAAGTATAATTTGTGAAAAGCTAGACTTTTCACAAAAGGCATCATCATTTACTCATTCGTTGCAGAAAACGTTGTATGTGGAATGGATATTGGTGGTAAGTGTGCATTTCCCCATAATGGTTATGTCACATCCAATCCTTGTCCTATAATTGCAATTGAAGTACATTTACCATTTCTGTTTAATTTACAGTCAATTACTAGATTGTAATTTTTATTTAATTAACGTAATATGCACTATTGGCACGCTTGTATGCATGCGTACATATAGATACATATATTCAATACTTCTAATGAGTTACACTTCATTACTTATGCATTTTCCTTAAAATCGGTTATTTCAATTTTAATATTTTATTTTATACACTAAATATTGGTTTTATTGAAATTGTAAAAATTAAAATGTAAATATGTAAATATTTGTATAAAGTAACGTGAATTACAATTGATATTGAATATTCAAAAACAGTTTTTAGATCATGCCTAAGTATTGATATTCCTAAATAAGTTTTGAGAAATGTATGGAAGTCTTTGCTGAATTGAAAGCAATCTAAGTCAGACTGTTCATCACATAATGATAGGAAAAATCTCGTAGATAAAAATGATATGTTATCAGTAAAAACTTGATATACATATGTACATATACAGTGTGCGACTAAACTTAATCACGGAATCTACATTGTCGTTATTTAAGTGAATAAAATCATAAAGTAGGAATTAAATTATTTGTTTTTATTTTTTATATTATTAGGACATTCATTATTCTTATTAAATTAATAAAAATTAAACAAATTAACTCACTAAAATATAAAGAAAAATTTATATATGATGACAAAACTAAAGCCCATGGCTGTGATTTCTAACTGTACACATTAATTTTTTTTTGCCTTTTTTATTAATCAGCAAATGTTGGATATGTGTGGTTATTAGCTAAATAGAAAAAAATTAGTGCATATTTAGTTCCAATCCGTTATTCAGTGAGGTTGCTTGTATACTAAAGTGAAAACCGATTTCGCACATCAGACTCTTTAGTTCAGGTGTAAGGCCGCGGAAAATAACCAAAGAAGAGGATAGGCAGTCATTCGGGCAATAAAAAATAACCCTTTTATATTCTGCAACATCTATTGCAAGGCAATTACGGTGAAATATGTCGCAGAGATCCATACAACGTCGAGACGTGAAAATTGTAAAAATAATGACGCTTTATTAATACAAATAAAGGAAGCATGGAAAAGTATTTCCGGCGACACATTAAATAAATAATTTGAGTCCAGTTCGTATTTTAGTTTTGCCGCACCAGAATTTTGGAGTTTTTCATATATGAATTTTTCTTTATTTTTTAATGAGGTAATTGGTTTAATTTTTATTAATATAATAAGAATAATGAATGTCCTAATAATAAAAAATAAAAACAAATAATTTAATGCTTTATGATTTTATTCACTTAAATACCGACAAGGTAGATTCCGTGCTTTAGTTTTGTCGCACAATGTATGTGTATTCATATTTGATACATTTTTTTCTTTGACATTTGTGAATGCATAAGTATAGATATAGATTCGGACCATAGAGAGAGGTGTTCGATGATTAGGTTTTATCTCAGCTCAAAGTACAGTTTTTTGATTTGTCTCACATTTGTAAACAAAACAATTGTGTCTTGTCTGGTTAGACCCGTTATTAGTTTTTTTATGCTATTGATTATAACCTTCGCTAAGATACTATTAATAAGTCTCTTTCCACTTGTCCGTTGTTGTTTTTGGGCCTAGCCTTTTAAACTCTTTCCTTTATATAAGCCCAAAGGTTTTTAATGGTTTTGAGGTCAGGAGATCGAGCTGGCTAGTCTATAACCTCAATTCCTTTGACCCGAAATCACTCCTGTGAAAGCCTATTGTTGTGTTTTGGGCCATTGTCCTGGTGAAGACTAATTTTAGCGGGATGATGGTACGCCTCTGTACGAGAAACATCACCACACCATTATACTTGACCCACTATGTTTAAAGCTTTCGTGGTGTATCATGGGTCATACTCTGTATTAAGGGAAGTCACATATACTGTCGAGACCCTTTCCTGCCATAAATAATAATTTTCGACTCTTCAATCCAAAGTACGTTCCTACATTTTTCCATTGGCCAGGTCAGATGTTCCTGTGCAGGCTTTACGAGAGCTACGAGCATACAAATTATCCTCCGTTCAAAAATTAAAAAAAGCTTGTATAGCTTACTATTTATGTGCATTAAAAACTATTACCTTGACGGGAAATCAAATTTTTTTCCAAGTTTTTTGATCACTACTATTTTTTTGCTCGCTGAGAATTATAAACATCGCAATGCTATGTATATTCATATTTATATAGTCAACCGACATATGGAAATTTTGTAATTCTATATGAAAGTCCTAAAAGTAGTTCGGGGAATACCGCTAAGGGATATACCTACTTATGTTGCATTTCGTATTAAGAAACAATGTTGTGACTTTATTATCATTCAACACTGTTGACTTGTGCACATGTTTTTGAAATTGTAACGTAGGCAACACTGAGTCGTTTCATTTCAATAATGTCAGAAACATTTTGCTGGCCGACTGTTCTCTGCTTGAGGAACATTGTGATTAGTGAAACGGGGCGAAAGTTAAACGGCGACTGACTTATTTAATGATATGTCAAAAATTTTGTTCGCTAATTTGTGGCAGAAATAAATAAAATATACCAAGTGAAAATTGTGTAGAATTATTAACGAAGTGAATGTATGTAGACAATTCTTGAAATTGTAATTAAATTCCTTCGAAATACGTGTAGGCATTTGATTGAAATCTGATTTGATGAAGTGAAAAAAGTGGTAGCTACATCGCAGCAAGGCTATGTAGAGAAGAAAAAAGAAATTTTGTATGAAAAGGAAAATGAAAATATTCGCTTATTGCTAAATATTTTGCAGCTATCATCTTTTTGCATTGTATGCATTTGAATAAAGTGCGTTTTGAGAGAAAAAATTGTAATTCGGTAAAGTAAAATGAATATAAAGAAAATTAGAAATAGAAACAACACATACGAGGAAATTTAGAGACTACGAAAAATAGCACGTACATAAAGAGGATAAAAGTTGGACAAGCGATAATTTGAAGGGATAAGCGACAAAGAAAGATAAGGCAATTGAACAAAAGAGAACTAGAATTAAGTCATTCAAACGAGGCAGCAACGTTGCCAGCGATTGCGGTAGCAGTTTTTCGACACCAACGTTGGCACCGCGACGTTGACGACAAATTTCTACCGATCAAGCGGAAAAGGTTGAAGTAACATAACGACTAGGGAAACAGAAAACTTGGACGTCGACAACACGACGAAGGCGGTGGCCGTCAGTCGTCAACTTCTGTTTCGACAATGAATAGTATACTAATTTAATATCAGCAATTAAAGTAAAAATACTACAACGAAGAGGTTCGAAATAAAATAAAAACAAATAATCTTGTTAAGTGTATCTATTAAATTTTTAAATAAATAAAGCGCGCACTTGAACGTACATATTGTGCGTAAGTGCGTGCGTCAAGACGGTCAGTCAAGCGGGGCGACGGTATAGCTATTTGATAAAAGTGAACGTTCTGAAGTTTACAAATATCGCACAATATGGAATATCTATGGGGTTTGTATTTTTTCTACTTATGATGTTTATGTAGAAAAGCCCAGCAGCTGCTCGCAGTTTTAGTGACAACTGCATTAATGATTTTTCCAAAGTTTGTGATTTCTTTCCTTTTTTGTTTTGTTTCTTAAGCTGCACACGTATTAACAGCATTTATATTCCATTTTGAAAATACATATATAATGTTATTTAGGGTATAAGAGAGAAATTAGGTAGTATGGAACGAGCAAGCCATGATACCTATTTATTGTCTAAACGTTAAAATACAAAAATTGTATTAATAAGAAGAGTAGGAACTTTAGTTCATTAAATAAATACATTAACCAACTATCGCTAACTGCAATCAAAAATTCCAAAATACACGCAATATTTTTTCTGTACATTTAAATTTTTAATTCTTTGACAGCACATATTTTTCTTATTATACCATCCTACATTGTGTTTATAATTCTTGTTTAATTTGTTTTAAGTTCGGCAATAAAACAATTCATATATGGCATAGGCTAATACAGTAATGCATAAACTGCTTTTTTTTCTTATTTTAATAAATATATTAATCAGTTCAGTTAGAGAATTAATTATTTTTATTATCCTGTAGCTGGCGGTTATGTATATATGAATGGAGATGCAGTCAAGTTACAACCACCTGTTGCAAACACAATATACGCTCATGTACCCGTTGAAACAGCGATGCTAGCCACGACTAATCTTTACGGGCCAACAACGCAATTGGCAGCACCAGCCACAACACATATTCCTTTAATAGCAACCACAGGACCGCAACCACCACATCCACAAGCTTTGCAAGTAGCTGCTGCACCCCCACCAAGTCAACACCAACACCAACATCAGCACACACAATTAATATCGCATACTCATCCACACGCACATACACATTCACATAGTGCAGCTGTCGCTGCTGCTGCTGCTGCCGCCGCCGTAGCCGGTCCGCACACACAGCAACCTCCTAGTGCTGGCGCATCTCTACAAACGGTGCCCACTGCCACGCATCAGACCGCACATTTACAATACGCTCATCAACCACAAACCGTGGCACAGGTTGCTACTGGCGGACCAGCCGTAACATCAATTGATAGTGCAGAGTACGCAGCCGCCGTCATGAATGGCACAATTGCACAGGACGGCTCTACCGTCTGTTACGCGCAACAGGAGGAATTGTCCGGTGTAGCGGCTGGAACGAATTTAATAGCGGTCGATGTTTCGATGGCGGGAACTCCTACTTCGGTGGGCACTCATCAAACACAACAACATTCTCTTGGTATAAGTAATGGTCCGCATCAACAACACCAGTCACACCAGCATCTAAACAACAATACTAACTCGGTAGACAACTCCGGCATACCGTTAGATCAGCTAAAACAAATGCTATCCACACAATTAGAATACTATTTTTCCAGGTAAAATTTCATTGCTGAAACAAAAATTTTAATCGTCGTGGAGAGTTCGAATTGCTTTTTTATTAATTGATTTCTGTGCATTAACAAGATCAATTTTTACATTACTTTTTTAATACAGAGAGAATTTAGCCAATGACACTTACTTGTTAACACAAATGGATAGCGATCAGTATGTGCCTATTATTACTGTGGCTAATTTTAATCTTGTAAAGAAGCTTACCAAGGATATAAAGCTCATTACGGAGGTTCTTCGAGAGTCTCCAAATGTGCAAGTAGACGAGGATGGATTGCGTGTGCGCCCAAACCATAAACGTTGCATTATTATCTTGCGAGAAATTTCCGAAAATACGCCTGTAGAAGAAGTAAAGGTAATAAATCCGTGACTACTTAAGTACTTGAAAATCGGCCATTTGGAAATCGAAACTATTTAATTTCTTTGTAGAACATTTTCAATAACGAAAATTGCCCACGTGTCATATCATGTGAATTTGCGGGCAATAATTCATGGTATATAACTTTTGAATCAGACGAAGACGCCCAAAAGGCCTTTAAATATTTGAGGGAGGATGTAAAGATGTTCAAGGTAAGTAAGAGTAGTTTTATATAATATATTCTATTATGTGTCAATGATTTGCACTGATTTGTACTGATTTTAAAATGGTAAACAAACTAATAAAACTGTTATTAATTTTTCATATAATCTTTTGTTAGGGAAAGCCAATAATGGCTAGGATGAAGGCGAAACCCTTTATAAATCGGCTGCCAATAGCGCCGGTTGCACCCTTGAAAAATGGGTTTCGAATAACCTCGCCGCCAGCCGCGGTATATGATCCTAATGCAGCAGCGACTGCCGTAGCATACAATACAGCTCCCCAACGATTTGTATATGCTACGAATGGTGCCGCAATGACACAAGCTTCGGTACCTTACAATGCTCCCGTTATATTTGTAAGTTTTTTGATTCTTTATAATAGTCTCATAGACCTTTTCAACGTATTTATATTTCCATTTCTAGCAATCTTTCCAACAGCAACAATTCTATCCTGGTATTGTTGCAACAACACCGTGGCCACCGGCGGCTGCTGCGGCAGTAGCAGCAGCCGCTACCACAGCACACGGGCAAAACTTTTATGAATTAGGAAATGTGTTTGCCACTAATGGCTTGACACCACAAGCTGCTGTGCCCACGGCGTACACAACATCTGCTCCACAACAATCTGCTACGCCATTGCCGGCGTCATCGAAAGGGCAAAGCGGCGGCGGTCGCTATAATAACCATCGCAATAACACTAGCAGTGCTGGTGGTGGTGGTCGCAACAAGTTGCGTAGCAACACTGCACAACAACAACAATCACAACCCTTACCGGGTATGATCACTACTCTTGGTAATGTCGTTGGTAGTTTAGTTAGCGTTGTACCAACAATAATGGACCCGCACCAACAGCAACAACAATCGCAGCAGCAACAAAATCAACAGCCTCAGCATCAAATGCAACAACAGCAGACGACTTCAAGTCAAGTGCAACAGCAGCAGCAAGTTCAGCAATCACAACAACAACCACAAAATAATTCAAGGCATTACAATAGTATGAAAAATAGTGGAGGTAAGCTTCGCTTTGTAGCAATATTTGTAAGTCTAGAATTTGATATTTAAATGATTGCAATTTATTTCGAAAGGTGGCATTAATAAATCATCTATGGATAAGCCCTATGGTGGAGGCAGCAATATGTCGAGTCACATACATTACGGAACTCAAACACAAGCGAGCGCTGGCCCTTCCCATCACCATGCGTCGTCCCAGCAGCAACAGCAAACGAATGCTGTTACTGCTGGTTCACATAACACAACACAAAATCACTACCAATTGCCTTCCGCGACCGCAGCAGTAGCGGCTGCCGCATCTACAAATTTACAACATTCTTCCTTTACGCATGCTACTCCAACCGTATCGGTGCAGCAACAGCATCACCATCATCAGCAACAACAAGCACATTTGCATGGTCAACATGTTGCTGAACTGCAAGACGATGGCGGTGTGTTAGGTATGGGTGCTAGTGGTGAGATGGTTCAACAACAGCAGCATCAGCAGCAATCATCTCATCCTCATCAACAGCAACAGCACAGCAGAAGTAATCTGTCTAGTTCAACATCGTCGCTGGCGACGTCGTCGTCTCTTGGTGTCGGTGTGGTGGGGAAGGAGCCGCCAATGCATTGGACTCAGCCGCGACATCGTCGTCGGAGACGTGATGACGACGGCAGCGTTATGACATATACGCCAAGCACTCGACTTGGTGGTGGCGCCGGAGTTAGCGGTGGGGTCAGTATAACAACATTTTATACGCCTTATAGCACTTTCGTGCACAATGTTGTTGGGGTAGGTGGTGGAGTTGGAGTTAGTGGAAGCGATATGGGTGTAGAATTCGATGTAGGCAATGGCAGCAACATTGGATGCATTGAAAATACTAGCGGCATTGACAATGGAGGAGGAGGTGGAGGAGGGGAAGGAGTTGGTGGTGTAGAAGGCGGAGGGCAGCATGGCGGCGGCTTGCAGTCATTTACTAGCAACCCCACCATCACCACCACCACTACCACTACAGTCATCACTGCCATCGATAACTACAACGCGGTGAACTCTAATCATAATATGAACTTAAATTTAAACGTAATTGCAAGTCCCAATCAGAATCGAAACATGAATTTGAATCAGAGCCCGAATCCGAGTCCGAATCGTAATTCGTATACGAAAACCGAACTAAGTCAAAGTCATAACCAAAACCAGCACAAACACTATGTCCAAAACCAGCACCAAAGTCAGCAGCATAGCCAATCAAATCAAACCCAGATAATGTCCAATAGCTTCCACAACAGCTTCCACCACAACCAATATAATAATAATAAATTTAGCAATAATAGTTCTGCCACTTCTACTACCACCACCAATACTACTACTACTAATACTACTACTAAAACTTCTACTTCTACTAATGCTAATGCTAATGCTACTAACAATAATCATAGTAATAATTTTGCTACAACAACAACATCATCAATAATAACAAGCACAACAAACAATGCGAATACGCAAAAAGCAAAAATATTCATTCAATCCTCTACTTCGCAGCAGCAAGCCTACATTGGTGGTAGCGTATCATCACATCATCAATCGCAGCAGCAGCAGCAACAACAACAACAACAGCAACAGCAGCAGCAGCAACAACAATTACAAACACAACAATCGTCCAACGCCGGCAATACACTGCAATTATCCTCAAATGTGGGTAATAATAATCCAATGTCGGCACAAAGCAGTGGCGGCGGCGCCGGTGCACATCATGGTCAGCGTGGTGAAGGTGTCCATCATGGTGGCGGTTCAAGTTACAATTCACATCGCGACGAACATCGAGGCGGATACAAAGGCAATAATTACAATCCACACTACAATAGCGGTGGTGGAATGGGCCATCACTCGCAACATTCGGGTGCATCACATCATCACCATCATAGTGGCGGCGGCCCATCACAACAGCACCATCATCACCATTCATCGTCGCATCATACAGGCTCAACGCATCATTATCACCATCATCGCCACGAAGTAGGTGGTGGCGGTGGTGGTGGTAACGGTGGTAATGGTGGCCTAAGTGGAGGTGGCACGAATGGTGCTCATGGCATAAGCGATCGCAGTGGCGGTCATGGACATCACGGTCAACAGCAGCAACAGCAACATGTGCCGCCACCACAACCACCACAATTCGATTTAGAAGCAGCAGCTTTTCCGCCACTGCCAGGTTTGTCTCTCTTACAATAACAAGTTTATTACTATTTCATATACGTATTATCAGAAGCATATACATTACAGTTGATGATTTCTTCAAAAAGAAGAATTGTCCCTTTCAATTAAGCAAGTTTCAACAATTTTGTAGTATTGTATAATGATAATTTTTATTACAATACTTGCACTCTAACCCATTTTAATTTTTTGGACTTGAACAGCGACTTCGTCGTCCACAGCTTCCTCCTCGTTAGCGTCTACCGGTGCGGCTTCATCAAATAGTAACGGTAGCACCAACAACAATAATGTTGCGGTGTCTAGTACCAAGCAATCTACGAATTCGACACCACATCATCAACAACAGCAACAATCTCTTCAGCAGCAGCAACAACAACAACCACAGCAACAGCAACCACCGCTGCAGTCTTTTGGCGGTGGCGGAAATGACGGAAGTATAAGTGGCAGCGTAGATGTCCAGATGCAAAAGACAAGCTACCTGCAGCAGCAACCCCAAATACAGCAACACAATCAGTGTTTAAGCCCTTCTATTGCTGTACAACAATCTAATAGTTCCTCAACGACGGTAACTGGTGTATCAGCGAGTGTCAGTGGTGGTAGCGGCAGCATTGGCGGCATTGGCAGTAGCCACCAAAACCACAGCAGCGCCAGTGCTGTCGCCAACAACAGTGGCTGGTCCAATGAGAACCGTTTGGCAGATGTTGTGCGTTCTGGCGCGAGCATCGGTGGTAATGGGAAGATTAAATCTCGCAAAGATTCCGCCCACAATAACAAACAACAACAACAAAACTATCAACAACGTAATACAGGTGCTTGTACCACCATCAGTCCCACCACCACAACGTCCATCGCCGCTACAGAAGGTGCTTTTCCAGCTGATGAACCAAATACTCCATTAGCAGCTACAACAAAGCCAAACATTAAGTCCTCGACATTGCATAAACAAAATTCAAACGCTAATACAAACTACACAACCACCGCCTCCTCATCCAACAACACTGTGATAAAGTGTCCAACACAATCCAAACAAACCAATGCCTATAGTTTGACTGGCGGCAATACATCATTCGACAGTAATACTGGTGAGATATACTAATGGTGATAGAGAAAGAGGGGAATTTTAACATTGTAATTCATTTAACAATCGCCTAGAGCGTGAAAAGTAGTAAACTAGTTATATATACATTTACTTATCATAACTAAAACGACTTAAACGAACGCTGTGCACATCTATTGAGTGAAATGCTTAAACTCTTTTTATTTGTAGTTGACCACCTTAAACGGAATAACCGTAAATGTACATATACTCATATTTTCTATAGATTCCCTCAATTAAACAGCATAATTTCCATTTACAGTTAGTGGTGAAAAACCCATAAACAAGACTGAGGATCTGTCTGCTTCCGCGGCAACACAAGAAGCAGGATGTAAACAACAGCAGCAACATGCTGCCAACGATAACAATGGCAGCAATGAGCTGCATCAGCAACACAATCATCGCGGTAGTGGCAGCAGCGGCCCAAACTCCACATCGGGCGGTATCATCAAAAGCGCTAATGCAGTGCTTTCACCAACATCAGCTACAGCCAGTACGCTCAGCGGCAGTGGCGTTGGCGGAGGCGTAACTAGCAACAGCAGTGCCAGCAATAATGGTCAACAAGCCGTTACATGCAGTGTTGCTACCATGACCACAAATTTCGCCGATTGCAGCCTAAGTAATCACAAGAAACCGCCTGCAGTTGCGGATTTACTAGCCAAAAAGGCAACGCCAAAAGATGCTACGAAGCATAAAAATGCTTCCACATCTACGAACACTGCTTCAATTGAAAACATTGCGGCAGCACAGACGGCCATACCAATTGCGAATGCTACAAGTACGACAAATAATAACAGTTCACGTTTAAGCTATGCGCAAGTGGCTCAACATCACAAGGAACGCGCCGTCGCCGATGGTGGCAGCAAGAGTTCTGAGAATTCTGCTTCAGGCAATGCCTCACCTGTGGCTGTGCCCAATAAAAGCGAACTGTCAACTTCAACGCTGAGCATTAATAAATATGAGACTCCTAATAGCATTAGTGGAGCAGCGGCAGGTGTAGTCAGTGCTGTTATTGTGGCGGCGACAGCGACAACAACAGTGGCGGCAATGCCTTCTTCATCAGCAACAGCTGCTGCTGCATTGCAGTATGTAGAAAAACAAAGTGAAAAACCGTTAGGCTTTGATAAGCAACGTGGCGCAACGACTGTTGGCCAAGCGCTGACGAGTGCAGCCGCCGGCACCACTGTTGCAGGCAACAATAGCGGCAGTGGCGGTGGTGGCAACAACACAGGTGCTGTGATTAACAGCGGAAGTAATGTGGTGACATTACGTGCTGAAATTTCCAAAGATAAAGGTAAGCCAAAAATTTGACAATTAATTTTGTTGAGAACAAAAAATAAAAAAGTGATAATTTCGCAATATAACCTCACGTTTGTAACCTCATTTTAGATGCTTTACGCGAGAATCGCCAAAGCACCGGCAGCAATAATAGCGGAAGCAGTGGCTTCAGTAGTAGCGGGGCCGTCAGCAATAATGCGGCGACCCAATCCACTCTAACGACGAGTGCACGCAATCGCATCAACGAAGGCAAAGAGAAGAATGTGCGTGAACGACACGACACTGCCGAAAGCAGCAGTAGCGGGCGAAAGTCGGGACGTAATTAATCTTCAGTTGTGATGTTCACCAAAGGAACTGAACTATTTCGCTTAGAAACAGCATTTCACACACTTACATAATATACACAACTGCTTAGACACATACACTCTTTTGCAAAGTGCCGAAATTAAGAACACATATATGCAACAAATGTAGAATAGAAAGACATACAAAGAATTTTCGGTATTGTCTACGTATGTAACAGCAGGAATTTAACGCGTACACAAACTATCTGATCGTTATATTAGGAGGCCCTAAAGCAATTTATACATACGAAGGCAAACACTAACCAAAATTCTTCGACTTTCTTCAACAGCGACAAAAGTTGATATAAATTTGTGAGAGGTGGAGTTTTCGCAAAATTTTGTGTGTGAAACTATTTGAATTTGAATCGTGAACATTTGCAACGCTTCGAAATTATTGTGTTCCATTAAAATACTGTTTGGCCCTCAAAACACAAAGCTACTTACTATCACTTTAAGTGGACACACTTGAATGCCAAACATGCAATTGAGCTGCTAATACTAAACAACAACAAACAATTATAGCTGCAAATAGTTTGCGCAGCTATAAATAAATACATTAAACACGAACAGAAACCACTTGTATATGCTACGCTCCGCCAGAATTGCTGCTGCAACAAGTCTACTAATTTAATAATACTGTACAACAATTGTTTTGTATGATATTAATTATTCACCAAAATAATTGCAATAAGAATAGAACTAACGTTGTGGAACAACATTATACAGAAATATGGTAAGTCAAAAGATATATTTATATTTATTTCAAATATTTTGTAACAATCAAGTAGAGATAGAATAGAACGTAGCAAGGGCTAATAACACATTAGTGAGTCTTTTGTGGGGAATCGAACTGTAGAACGGTGTTTTTGTTTTCACATTTGAAATTTTGACAAGAGGTCAAAAGTCAAGCATAACGGGCAGAGCAGTGACGATTCGCAGATATCAAACATTAAATATAGTTGTATTTATATTGCATGTATAAAAAAATTTGATAATTTTTGAAATTTAAATTTTAGTGATGTATCAAATTATTAACTATTTAATAAAACACAAGCAGGGTTGCAAATAAAGCTGTAAAAAAGCCTTTTACAGGTGCATTTTTTAAAGGAAACAAGAAAAAATGCTACGTTTGGTTACATCGAAACTATAATGCCCTTTTTAAATAAAAAGTATCCATACCAGAACTTGACTTTAGTTGTTCAGTTTGTATGGCAGCTATAAGCTATATTCGTCCGATCTTTACAATTCATTGGATATTACATTATTGTCTTAAGCAATAATCCATGCAAAATTTCGTGAAAATATCACCTCAAATGTAAAAGTTTTCCATACAAGTACTTGATTCTGATCGTTCAGTTTGTATGACAGCTATATGCTATAGTTATCCGATAACAGCAGTTTCGACAAACAAACAGGTTCTTGGAGAGAAAAGGAAGCGTGCAAATCGACAATAACTTACAATACATTTTTCCGCCATCACAAAGATATCATCTTCAATACTCTAGAACAGTGGTAGGAAAACTTATGCATATGAACATTTTACATTTTATCAATTTTTAAATCAGATTTTGGGACTAAAAATTAAATTTTCAATCCCAAAATTAGAATAATTTTCAATTACAAAATTAGAATAATTTTTAATATAAAACATTTTGGAATTTGAAATTTTAATTGTTAATCCAAAATTGGAATAATAATTTTTAATCCAAAATGTTTTAATTTAAAAATTCGCAATGAGCACGAATAACCAAATGATTTAGAGTTAAATTTCAGAAATATTTATGACATTTGTTTGCATTGGACTCTTTTCATATTGTAATAAAGATTTTATTTACTTCTTTTCAGCTGTTTTAGTTACGTAAAGACGAATCGCATACAATTCGAGGGATATGTATAGAAAGGATTAGTCAGAAATTATTCTTATTATTATAAATATAATAATAAATATAACAAAACTTAACCTTAGTTATTAAGCAATTGATAAACGAAATGTCAAAATGTCAAACGCAAATGCAAACGCGTGGCAAACACGAAACGATGTGCGTTATTTTTGTATATAGGGCAGTTAATTTAATTTGTCAATATAATAATGATTACATAGATATTTATGTTCACGTACGCATTACAGTTAAAAGTAATGCATATATGTATGTGTGCAAATATACTGATTGAACACTAAATATTTACATAGAATATATATTGGATGCAAACACACATACACATACACCCAAATGACTGTGTAAAATTTTATAAAGGGTTTGCTATAGAACGGTACGCGAAAAACACAAACGATATTATATATTAAATTTGTAGTTAGGCATATTACAGTGAATATTAAAATACGACAATTTAACGATATGATATATATGAGTGAATCGAGTGGACTTATGTTTTAATTTTTTTTTCTTTTCTAATTTTGTTACATTTGAAAGCAAAGTAAATGAAAATTAATTATATTAAGGGATAAAGGGAATGTTGTTTCAAAGGCCATAACAAAATATATGTTTTAGTTGAGGAAATTTATTATGTTGTCTTCAAAGCGCAAGCAAAATGACACTTTCGACCATCGGATAAGAAATTAATTTTATCTGAATTAATGATGAAAGGAGATTATTTATAAAATTGGAAATTAATGAAATAGTTTTCACTGTTGAACAATGTAATTTTGGTTAAGTTAATTAATTTTCGGTCATCATCTCCGGTAGGCATAACAGCTAAATAATTAAAAAAAAGGGCCAGCATTTGTTTGAATGTTTTACTTTGCTTAGTTACAGAAGCAATGGGTTGATGGTAGTTGCAGTGATATGTTAGATAGCGCTGAATTTGAAAACAACTTTAAGTCAAGGACTATCCTTAAAACATTGTTTTAGTTCTAACAACATCAAACATTCCCATACAGTTTTGGGAATGCTGCTAAGTGACAGTCCTTAGCTGGGAATAGATCCAAGCCGTTCGATTTGCGTATGTCGCAAGGTCATCGTTAGCGTTTATTATACGTTGTATCACGTATTATATTGTTATTATATTTTTAATTTAGTTTAACTTATTTTATGCCTTAAAAATCCAATGTACATACTTAACGAGTTAAAGCGTAAAAACGATTAAATAACTAATATTGTAGTCCTTTAGGTAACTCATTGAGCAACACAAATTTAGGCGAAGTCACTAATTACAAAACGTATAAATTACATAATCGAATGTGCCATAATATATTATGCGAAAGAGTGAGTGTGCAAATGCAAAGAATTAAGTGTTAAGAAAAACAAATGACAAACTTTAGTGACGGTTTTAGTACATTATTTTATGACAACTTTTGAACTTTTAGTTTTGTAAATATTAAAATGTTAAGCGGCCATTTCACTTGCACATAAGCTTGACTTTTAGCTGTTAGAAAAGTTTTTGTTGCATTAATTTGGCTAATGGCCACACCTATCAAGCAAACGTAATTTTTTTATTCCAAGGTTTCAAGCGAATTCTTATTTGCCTCTCAACGAAAGAGATATTTTAAACAAAAGAGTTAAAATATTTTCAGCATTTGTGACAATGTTCAAGTAATAATTTGACCCTACTTTTCTTTACTTAAATTACTTTAAATCATTTAAATTATAACAACGCCTCTGTTTTCGTAAATGAGGAATTTTGTGTTTAAAAACGTTATAAATATTGTGAATTAGAAATCTCATAGGTTCAAATTATATACAAATTACTTATAAGTCACTGTAGATCACATACAAAATTTATTTTTATTTTGTTTAATGAATTTTCGCTCTTTCTGTATAGATTGTTGCGCTAAATATTTGGCTTCATTGAATAATTTCTATTGATCTTGATTAAAAAAACGTTGATACTTCTATTGATTTCATTGCAAAGACTTTGTCTGTCTGTGTTAGGTTGTGTTTAAATATGGATTTATAACAATATTAAATCGCTAGAAATTAGTATTAATTTTAAATATTGTTTAAAAAAATTGAATTCTCTCGCTATTATATTACATTTGCGTTTTTATCTTGGTTACATTTTTACTTAAACTATTGAAACTATTAATGAATTTCGCTTATTGTTTATTATTATTATTATTTGCATTAAGTTTGTAAATTTAAGTTGTTAAAACAAATATTATCGTTAAGTCATTGAATTTTAATATTATTATATTTATTATACACCATTATTCTTAAATATTGGATTTGTTGGAAGTTGGGGTTAGGGTATATATTTTTAATCGTACTTTAAAGAAACTTTTCTCAACATATAATTCTTAGTTGAACGCTTTGACGTTGAGACATAGTAGACAAATTCATATGCGATACGAGCTCAAACTGTAGCTGACAACTTTGCTTGCTTATTCTGTATTTATTTGTGACTTATTGTACTCACGCCAAGGACTTTCTAACGCGAGGGCAAAGTTTAAGTACATTTTCATTTCTTTACTCATTACAAATTCAGAACAAAGCATGATTTAGTCATATCATTTATATATTACATAACTTTAACTGTATAGCCATGTGCATATGTATGTAATCAATTGAATAAGTGGAATAAATTAAGTGGAGTTTAATACATAAATATTATAAGAGTACGAATATCTATGTACAATTCACAAACGAAGCATCGAAATTTAGTTGATCATTATTTAAAGATTAAATATTTTTTTGGTTGTGCATACATAAGACATGAAATTACCGCGATAACATATAACAATATAATGAATTGCAAATCTGTTGTTAGTACTAGAAAAAGTTCGCATACATACATATGCATATGCACATACTTACATATATGTATAAGCTAGAGGCGTGTATAAAAGATGTTGCATTCATCCATAGTTATATAATATATGACATATGAATGTATATGCATAATATACGAGTATCTCTGATTGAAATGACGTCACTGTGCGTGTTAGTGTGTATGTGTGTTTTGTGCCAAATCACAAATGTGGTTTTCACGATAATGACGATAATGTCTACTCTAAGCTTAAACGGAAGATGCAGATATTTAAGCCGCAAACAAACAATATATATTATAAATCCATACATATATTTATAAAAACACAAAATTGAAATTAAATTTGTTCCAATATGAACATAAATTATTTTGTAGTTGATAAGTTAAATTGTACTCGTATATTATACAATAAGTTGACTAATTTATATAAGTATTGTATGTACATATACACGTACATGTATGTTATGTACATAAATATTATATATGTATTTACCAGCTAATTATATGCATGCATACAAGTATAATTCATTTATACATGTGCATAACAAGTGAAATGTAATTGGACAAGCATTGAAACAAAATCAACTAAATGAAAATATATGTGCTTGCAGCTGTAACATGCATACACACATACATATACACATATGTAGTATATAATTGAGCAAAAACTAATTAAAATTTTTTTTTGTTTTTTTTTCTTTCTATACACCGAAAAACTGACACATACACTTAATCAGAAACATGTAACCGTTTTTAATACACCGATATATGTATAAACACGTAAATTTAGTTCTAAAACATTCAAACATACAATAACTAGAAATACATTCATTTGCATTGCCACGCAAATTGGCTGAAAACAATTTTTGTTATGTTTGTTTCTTGTTTTGTTTTCTTCTTAAATGTACCTTAACTAAGTGTACAATGAACAAAGTACATGCATAAGTTAAATCTGATAAGGAAGCAAAAGCTTGTAGTCGTTTGTTCAAACAAATTGATTGAAAAGAAAGCATAAAAGAAAGAAAAGATGAAGAAGTGTGCTGCCAAGCAGAGAGGTGTAAATGTAAATCGGCGTGGAATTAGAGTGTTGTTGTGGCCTGAAATGAAAAACTTGTAAGAAACTATTGGTTATTATATGCTTGAATATAATTTGTTTGATTAGTTGAAGCGCTTCTTATTATTGCAGCAACTGTATAGATATGAATACGAATACCTTAAATGCACTTTTGTAAACCCAACTATGTACTATGTTAAATAATATTGATGTATTTCTATAATAGTAACTCTATTCTCACCAAAAGCAATGTACGTACCTATGTGCATATGTGCATATGTATATTTATTATTTTTATTTTCTTCCATTCCATTTTGTTTTTTGTTTTGAATAATATTTTTACTAAAACTCACGCACATACTCATATATAGAACGAAAGCATTATTAATAAATAACGGAATTTAAATAACGGATTTTGAAAAAACTGAAAAGAAAAAAAGGTTGATAATTGAACACTTATACTCGTGCTACTGCAGTTGTTATTTAAGTTAATAAAGCGTTTGCATAAGTTGATTGCCAACTCAACTATACGTTTTAGTTTATTATTATTTATTGGGTGGGTAAGCTGTAAGCTGTGTGCCAGCACAAACGGCTTGGATTACTTTGAATTATCTTGAATTTCAATTCTCATTTCCAAGTTTTTCGTATTTGACAAGACTATTTTTTTATTCAAAATGCCTCTGTAGTAGATATATGTACTTACATTATTTCACCAAGCTACCACTGACATAGAGAAAAAGTAAAGGAATATTTCAGTTTCCTAGTTTGATAGACATTTTTTGATTCTGTGACAGTTTTTCTTCTTGATGTCATATTATTTATAATTGATAGAAAAATTATAAGGATAAAGAATTATGAATTTTATAATAATAATAAGAATAACCTTTGAAATATATTTGTGATTTTGTAGGGAAGTTCTTACCACTTATCTGATCATCAAATCCGAAAGTTGAAATTTTGAAATTTGGTTTGAATAATTTGCCTTTTTATTTAAAACTACATTAGTAAATATTTAAAATTTATAATGTTAGCTAACTTTTATATTTAAAGTAAATATGACAAAGCTTTCCAGTTTTGTTCCATATACGAGTACCTGTGGGAATAGGTAATATAAGCGGCAGAAAACAATCCTGTAGAAATTTCGAGGAATGGTGTCGAGTTGACAGTCTTTGGCTGGATAAAAATCCGGGTCTGTTTTGGTTACTTAGATCCGACTGTTGTGGGAACGGAAAAGTTTTGTTCGTTTAGTTCAGCTTATTCTATATTCAAAGTTCATATGTATATATAATAATTCCGAAGATTCGACAGCTTCAAGATAACGATAAAAGCGTATACTCAAATTTTTATTATTCATCAAAATGCCCACCCTTACATAGATCGACTTAAGCCTTTTTAACATACTATATATTTTCACAAAAATGCATTACGCTTTATAATTTGTGTTTTTTTTTTTTTACTTTGAATACAAATATACATATGCCCATTGCATTAAAAGGCAATTTGTTCACTTATATTACAAAATAAATTGTTATTAACAAAATACATGTATATATATGCATATTTTGTGATTGCATATATTTTGTGATTGGAACTCGTTTTCAAATTCACTCATAAAATAAAAAAATACTATGTTTTCATATAAAAAGAGATAATTTCATCCGTGATTAAAAAAGTAACATCTTCGCTCTAATATACAATATACATACCATATATGAATAGTTTCCACAACAATCTGTAAGCGGTTCTTAAACCATGCTTAAGACCATCGGTTCTGTAAAGTTCACCGACCATGCAGTCTCTCTTCAAATTAAGTAAGTAATTGCTCTCTTCAAATAGTCCTTCCTCAACAATTTTCGACCAAACCATTATCCTGCTTTATTGGTTATGATCATTTAATGTATTAATTGATAGGAACATGTAAATTTACATGAGAATTCATCTTAGACCAACCCTTCCGTCCAACTTCGACCAATGTTGCGCCTTTGAGGGAACTCGCTTGAGTATAAATGAGATTAGTGAGATATGTTTTTTTGCACATGTTTAAGCAGGAAGAAATAAAAATCGTATATATAATTCTAATCGTTTCATTAAGTAGAAACGCGAGTCACTAAATTAAAACCAAAAATTGGAACCGACCACGAGCTGTAATTTGACCACGAACTATCCACCATTACACCAAATCCTAATAGCAAATCGTTTTTATGGGTACTATTATTGTTTTATATATAATATATATGTATATATGCATATATTTTATATTATATGCATATATTTTATATTATATGCATATATAATATGTAATTTTAAAATATTTAAGTATGTTTCATTGCAAAATTTCAAAGAGCGCCTAAGGATATGCAATTTTTGTAGTTTTTTTTAACACTTGGATGAAATCCAAAAAATTTGGTTATTTCATATAACATTTAGGAGCTTTTTGCATAAAAATAATAATGTCTTAATAAAAACAATAATAATATTGATCATAAGATAAAAAAAAAACAATAATAAGAAATAAATAAGCTAAGAAAATTGCAAAATGATTGCGAACGGAAAATTGGAGTTTCAAAATCTGTATATATGTAATAGTATATCACTTAAATATATAATATGAATAATAAATAAGCTATGTATGCCAACTTTAGGAGTGAAACTTTTAAAATATATATCCTTAAATGTTTCCATAAATGTAATATAAATATATATGTACACACATACATGCATACATACATAATATACTTTAATTGAAAATAATCATCTAAATATTCAATAATATTAAGTATTATTTGATATTAACCAATCTAATTAATTTTTGCGAGTTCTTTATTATACAAGTTCACCCTTGTTTGTGCAAATTGCCTTTAAATTCAAGAGAGTAATCTTCAATCTGCTATTTAAATTATTAGTCATTAAGAATCTGGAATTAAATTAAGCATTACACATATATCTATATTTTCATACCTTTTGTATTTAGTGCATATTATTACTGTACTTTGACCTACGGATCTATATGCATACTCGTAGATATGTATAATAAATTTGTTTTTTTTTTTTATGCATGGCATTCGTAATTTATTAGTACATAAATACCATTACAGTTTAAAAGATAAGTAATTGCTGAAGTGCCTACTATATAATTAATTTTGTATAATTACTATTGCTGCAAAATGAGTGTGTATGTGTGAATGTAGTATGAGTGCCGATATGTGAAGCTAGATATTACTACATAATATCAATCTTAAATCTAGAATTTTAAATTTTTTCTATTCTACGTGTATTTTTTATTTTTTTTTGTAACAAAATACAAAATATGTACTAAATTTGAAAATTTAATTTTTTTATTTTTAATCATGAAAAAAATGTTTATTTGCTGATGCAAAATTTGTTTTGTGCTGTGTTATTCTGCTTCTAGTTATAAAACCAAAACAATACCATTAACAAATACATATGGTACATGTAAATATTTCAATCGCTGTGGTATAATCTAATAACCAATTCATATCTTAAAGTATTCTATGGTCAAAAGACACAACAATATTCAAATAAAACAGTCAAATGTGTAAAATATATGCGATATCGTAATATTTGATTTTCTCTAAATTTGATTTTTAACTATTATTTTGACGATTTCGATGTTTTTGGATTGGAATATAGATCTCGAAATTTCGCACCAGACTCTATTTGGACTACATTTTTCTGCGTATAAGATGCCAGAAATCAGAAGTAACAGATAATCTGTTTGGATCTTCATTTCTATCTATCAATTTTCGAACAAACCTTTTTGCGAACTCGACGCCGAACGCCGAAGAATAAGTACAATACTTCTTCGGTACATTATTGCTATTTTTGTTTCGGGTATGTTCGCAGAAGCGCGTTATAACTATTCAGTGTGTAAAACTATAGTTTCCGATTCTATCTCATAGTATTCCTCTAACTGACTGGGTCCTTAAAGGCTTGTTCGCATGACATTAGTTCTTTATGGTACCTACAGTAACCGAATCGCCGATATGAGGTTGACGAATTTTCATTATATAAAATTATTTATCATAGCTTGGTAGAGCCGACCGATGATCGTTACCAGCACCACTTTCAAAAATACATCTTGTCTTAGGTTCTATTGAATTTTTGACTGGACCCATAAGTTCAGTCTCAAAAAAGTCGAAATTATTATTAATGAGTAATTTCCTAACCCAAAAATATTTCAAAACCCTTATAGAATAGTAATTTTTTATTATTGTTTGATAATTTTTTTTTTGAAGAATGAAAATTGAGAGAATTGAAACTATGATTTATGCGCGAAAGATTGTTAGTGTGCGTTGAGTTTAGGCTAGGCTAAACAATTATTAAATAATAAAATTAAAATGCTATTTAGAAGATAAATATACTAAAATGAAAAGTAAACATATTCAAAATATTGACTTATGATGTTTTTTGTGCAACTTACGTACATTTATCTATAATAAATATTTAATAAAAATAGTAATTTATGTAGGAGGAACAAATAAGCAGCAAAGAAATAATATTAGCAAAGTAAAAGAACCAAATTGAATTCACAATCAAATATATATGCATATATAAATATTATATTGTGTAAGTAATACCTTCAAAGTAGTAAAAGACTAGTTTAATTCAATGTAAATGTCGCTTGGGGTGGTAAATGTTGAATCAAATGCATGTAAAACACATGTATATGCATGAGTATAAGTAAGTGTGTAGGTGCACATATTGTATAAATACATATAAATGTATGCTTTAAAAATTATATACAAGTACATACAACTAAGATAGAATATAAAAATTAATTAGGTTTAAAAAATGTACAGAAATGCATAGATGAAACTGGAGTGCGGAAACAAATTGTAGCGGCAGTTGCAGACGGAAGACGGTTTGCGTGCACACATACATACACATATAGGAATGTGAAAATTGTAATACGTATTATCAATTCACTATCTGAAGCAAAACACATATTAGCATTCAATATCCATATAATAAATATATATACATACATATATATATATATATATATTATATATACATAGATAATATTTAAGTAGGCAAGAGGCAAATAAATAAATTAAAACAATTATGCAGCAAATAGGAAGCTAACTAAACTATTTTATTATGTAAAATGCAGATAATAACGGTAAAAATAGTTATAAATAGGTATAAAAATAAAATAAAAATATTAATTGTAACATTGCAATGTAATTTAAACAAATTTATAGTAAATAAAAATTTACTAAAACCAAATTTACTAAAAACAAACAAATAAACATTTAGGAGCTGCAATATGTATGTACATATATGTATAGTTTGGTGCGAGTGAGAGCGAGATAGGAAATTAAGAAATTGAAAGCTAAAAATAATGAAAGAATTGCGATTGAAATGTGAAGGATTGACTTTTCTTTAATATACATATGTACATATACATATGTAGTTGCATGTGTGGTAAGAGACAAACAAACAAATACATACATATATAGGTATGTCATATTCAAACCAATAAAACCAACTAATAGCTGTTACTAAA